GTAAAAAAATGTTGGATGACATTAATAAGACATTTGGACGACTTTGTTTCTGATCGGAAGGACATGGGGAATCTGGTTGAGAAAAGCCCGGGGGCTTTTACGACGCCGCCAGCTCGACAAACTGCCGGGGCCCCACACTTAAAACCTACTTCCTTCAGAACTTGATCCATAAATAGATCCATCTCTCTTTCCATCTTTTTTTTCTTTCTTTTTTTTCATCTTTCCATCTCTCTTACCAGTCACATCGTCCTCCCGTTCCGAGGACCACACACCACAGGGCTCTTCAGCGACCAAGGTGGGAGTCCTGCGCATTGATCGTTGTTTCCACGTACCGCCCCCGGCAGGCTTCAAATTCTGAAGAAAAAGGGCCAGGGGTGACTATCAACCAGGTCAGAACTAAGCTGGATTTTGAATCGAAAAAGAATGACCAGTCTCCGGATTTCCCTATGACGGTCAGTGGATGTACTCAGAAGTCTGACCCACAAATGTCGGCTGAGACACTCAGTCAACTTCAAAAGGAACTTTCAGAAGCAAAGTCCGAACAAAAGAAGGCTAAAGGCAAGGCAAAGGCAGAGAAAAAGGAAGTACCCGATGAGAAACCAAAGACGGCGGCAAAAACCAAAGCTAAGTCAAAGCCTGCTCCGAAGAAGAAGTCAAAGAATGACGATGACGGGGACAAGTCGGACAACCCGCTAGACTCTGAGGAATCTTTGACCAGTGGAGAGCTGCCACCAGAATCGGAGGAGGAGCAGGAAAGTGACACCCAGAAGAAGGCTAGAGTGCTGTCATGTTTATTAATTTAGGAAGCTAAACAGATTTGATTTTTCACAGTGATATGTTCACCACCATCACCATCATCTTAAGCCTCTGACAAACCGTGGAGCGCCGTGGGTCTCAAGTGGCACAACTCCACAATAACTCCTGATTTCCAGGTCCAGAAGGTCAAGGCCACGCCCAAAGAAGAGAAGACAAAGAATGAGGATGATAGGAAGACAAAGACCAAGGCTGAGGATCCGAAGGGCAAGACTCAAACACCCAAGACTGAGGACGAGAACGCCAAGAAGAAGAAAGATTCGAAAGGTAGGAAGAAAGAGACGAACAAACCGGAGGAGCCAGTTGACCCCAAAGAAATGCGTATGCGTGCCTTTGGCATGCCTGTCCGCCTCCCTCCCAAAGAGAAGCCATCAGAGACTGAAAGTAGAGAGAAGAGGAAGGTTTCCTGGAAAGATCAGGGCGAGGATAAGAGAACACAGGAGCCAGAGCAAAAGAAGGTGAATCTGACAGCCAAACCTAAGGGGTCAATGGATGAAAAGGAGAAGAAAGAGAATGCAAAGATGCCCAAGACCAAGAAGGCGGCCAAAGATGACAACGAGACAAA